TAGAGGAGGGGACGGAGACAAGACCGGTCACTCTGCACAAGAAGAGGGAGCAGAAGTGAGTGTTCTTTATTACAGGAAGGCTCCACCCACTACAGACTGCCTGCGGAAAACTATAGGGGGGGACGGAGTACAGACAAGTCACCCTGCACAAGGAGAGAGCGTAGCAGTGTTACATTCTATCCACAGTGTATAGGACGTGAGGATTCTGAGGGACATACCATTGCTGCAGCGGAAGAGGAGACAGGCGAAAGGGACCACTCTAAGAACAAGGTGGCTCAGAGGATCCGGTGAGTATTTCTTTGATTTTGTCTTTTAACCTAGACAAAAATGACTACTTAACCCTTGTAGTGCAGGGGTAGACCCACAGCAAGGGCCAAGAAAAATGTCCCCCCTCTCCCTCTGTATCTGAATGGATCTCTGAGCTAGACCAGATTGTAATGTTTGAACACGTTATTTATCAATATAGAGGTATTGGATGCGATAAGTTTTCTCCACTTTGGTCTAGAACAGGGGTAGCCAAACTCCGGACCTCCAGCTGTGGTGAAACTACAAATCCCATGATGCATCTTTCTCCGGGAGTCATACCTGTGGCTGTGAGAATTTCAACAAGGCTTATGGGAATTGTAGTTCCACCACAGCTGGAGGGCCGGAGTTTGGTTACAATATCATACATGTTAAAGGTATCTCTGTGGGTTTATACTTACCGGTGCCATTCAGATAAAATCAGCAAAGTATATGTGAGCGTAAGAGGGAATTTGTTTATGTTAGTTCCAAGTCTCTCTACTCCTTTGTGATTTACAGGTGTGATGTAAATGCTAATATGTGCTTAGATGATTGTATTTTAACGATTTAGTTTCCTGATAATCTTTCATTGATATGTGTTGTTCTATAATCTTTTTTGTTATAAGGATTGTTAAAAGGAAAATTCAATAAAAAGGAGCGCTGACTCCTCTTGTCTTCTCTGCTGTCCCACAGAGTCTGTGCGGCTGCACGCTGCTCCATATACTTACCTTGTGTCTCTCCTCGTCTCCCGGCCGAACATCTGAAGTGCGCAAGCTTCCCTCCCCCCAAAATCCCTTGTGGCTGCCCAAGACTCTTCAGATGTTCGGACGGGAGCACGCGGCGAAGACACAGGTAAGTTTAAAGCCTTTTTCCAAAGCTTTTTTTTTTAAATGTTTTTGCATATATCTACTGCTTGCTAACAGTAGATATATGCAAAAAAAAACCCAGAGGGTTTAATAACCCTTTAAACCTACATGATCTGGATTCCCATCCATCTGATACAACTCACTCCTCTCTTGAGCATAAAGAAAAGAACATGGCTGAAAATTAACCTGCATTCATTACAAATAGTTACCGATTGTTAAAAATCACAGTCTGCATGCTTTGCACTCCAGAATGAACCAATCAGATCTAGAAAGAGGATGATGACGATTCACAGAGCTCTTCCTTCTTTTCACATTGTGAAGATGGTTTCTAAGACTACAGAGGCTGGGCTCATCTGCTGTGTCAGATGAAGCACTGGCCCAATCACTGGAAAGGACAAGTTACTGTGAACAGCAGACAAAGCCCCCACCGTGTCACTGCTGCTCAGAAAGCAATTGCACCGTCAGACGCACGGTGTGACATGGCAATAGTACAATAGGCTGCAGCCTTATGACTACAGAGTGCAGAACAATACACAGAGTCCTCTAGTTGTGCTTTCTGCCCTGTCAGTATAGGGAAGGTGGGAGTGTTCATTCATAAGGTCAGCTGTCGCTGCAAGTGCCTCCCAGCGAAGGGGTGTGCACGGACTGCTGTGTCTAAACCCGGAATAAGAAAGAAAAAAAAAAAAAAGGTGCGTTGGAGCTCGTGCACTGCTACAAATTTGGGATTAAGTTGGGCTTTTGTGTGAACAATCCCATTCAAACCTATCCCGTGTATAAACTGCTGCTTTCAGCCTGGTAAACAGCACTGCAATGAGGACAAGAGGAAACCGGATGGATTGCACTATGTAGAGCTAAAAGCCAGCCATTGACTCTGTAACCCTTATTATGCCATGGCTTTCAAAATACACCCTTCCATAATATCTCGCAGTTGCAAACAACAAGCTGAACTTGGCTTCCCTCGCAGCTTGAGTTATATCAATGACCTTTACAAGAACGTGCAATTGGCAGAAGGCTTTGGCGGCCATGGAGCGAGGTTGCACAAAGACCAACGGAGACCGTGCAAACTCTTAAGAACAGAGACCGCTTTGGGCAAAAGCTGTGACCCGGAGCTGCGTCCGATTATACGCCGCAGAACGAAGTCTCTACCCAGCTCCCCGGAGAGGAAAATCGCTGCCAAATGTCGACCCCAATGCCATAAAGTCCGATTTGCAGACTCTCTTGGTTTGGAGCTGGCAGAGGTAAAGGTTTTCAATGCTGGGGATAACCCATCTATTCCACTGCACGTTCTCTCACGGCTCTCCATCAACTCTGACTTGTGCTGCAGCCAGGATTTGGAAGTGTCTCTCCAATATCTGGAGCCAGACTTCAAACAGCCAGGTGACTGCGAAGATTTCTTGGACCGTCTGAGACATTACTGCGTCTGCCTGGAGCACGTCACTAGTTCGGACGAATTGGGGATTTCTGGTACCGTTCGAGTTCTGAACTTAGCCTTTGAAAAAAAGGTGACGGTCAGGTATTCATTCACCAACTGGAAAACCCATTCTGAAACCCTTGCAGTTTGGCAAAAGAATGAAGAAAATGGTATTCTCAACTCGGATACATTTGCTTTTACCATCACGTTGCCACCTTTTGTCACACAAATCTGCTCAGCGATACAGTTTGCTATAAAATATCAAGTGGCTGATGAGGAATACTGGGATAACAATCAGGGAATTAACTATACCTTCACATCTAGAAGTCATACGCTTAAAATGCCAAAGGACATTGAGCGAAGCTGGATCCACTTTATTTGATACATTTGCAATTCTAAGCTTTTTTGTGGATTTTGGTCTTTCATTGGAAAACATTTCCCCCATTCTTTTCAAGTGGTTCCAGGTTTGTACATTTGTCAGTGTGGTCACAGAGGAGCTTCGTGCCACTGACAAAGGTAAACAATTGTAATAGGCATATTGAAGCTAGATGAAAAGGCATTTTATTTTGTGAAGCATGCATGTTTCTGCAATAGTGATGTTGGCGTTTTCAGGAATTATCTGTAACAGAATGACTGAGAAGCCATACAAAAGAGAAATGAACAGTCTAATATTTGGCATGAGTTACATAGTGGATCTCTCTTTATGCTACATTCTAGAGACATCTGGGACACTGATAATGTGGGGATAAAGAGCAAAATTCGACTGAACATTGCTTCAATGCACATTTCTGACAGTAAGCAAATGCATTATAAAGCAGCACTGTTTGCTGCAAAAGTTGAGGCAAACACTTAAGGGTTCATGTTTAAAAACTGGACCAAAGGGAAACCGTAATGTTGGTCAAAGAAACCATCTGACCAACATTACACATTTTCAAAGTTGTACTAGGGGTTGGGCAGATAGAATATGGTTGGTTGTGGGTAAAACCTCTACATTAATGGCTTTAGTTTTTAAGGCCCCTTTCATGAGTTTCTTAGGCGAAACCGATTGGATGCCCAATGCTAGTCTATGGCCAGCTGGGTCTAAACGGATCTGTTTACACCTGATTACCCACGACTCTGGCCAGGTCCGGAAAAACAAAAAACAACTGATCGTGCCAGATCGGGGGTAATCTGGTGTAAATGGACACATCTCCGTTTACATACAATTCCCCATAGACCGGCAGGGGGCCTGTCATTTCAGTTTGTTTCTTCCATTGCAAGATGGAGGAAAGACTGGATGGACACAGATGTCACATTGGTGACATCCGATCTGTACCGTTCTGATCAGGAGGGGATCAGTGCACAAATCCCTTCCTGATCAGCCCATGTGAAAGGGGCCTAAAGAACTTACAAGATCTAATCATTACTTTTACATTGTTTCTGAAAAAAAGATAGTAGAGTGTTGTTTAACTTATCTAAAAAGAGCTACTCTAATGCTGGCCATACACCTTACAACCATCGCAAGACTTTTGTCTTGTGATGGTTGTAAGGTAATTAAAAAAACGTACGATCTTCCTATCTTGGACAGGCAGATCGTACTTCCGATGACCGCCATGCTGAATGGGCAGTGTGCGCTTGCGCACACTGGCCCGTGTGGCATTTATCTTACGAGCATGCCACAAACCAGCCGAAAATCGTACGATTTTCGAACATGCTCCAAAGACAAAAGCCTTCCACACACCTTGCGATTATCGTGCGATCGCGGGATTTCCCGCGATTATCGCACGATAATCGCAAGGCGTGTGGGCACCTTAAATCTGATCACATGGCAAGTCAGTGCATCATAGGTTAGATAAAAAAGGAATCCCTTTGTTGTTTTCCAGGGGTTTTTTCCCTGGTTGCACTTTATCTCTACCAGTTGTGTGTACAGCAGATCCCTGGAACTGGGCTTTTTGTTCAGGATTCTGTTGCAGGATACTGCTGATAGGGCTGCTCTGAACTTTGGAGTACATCAGGCACTACACGAGAATGTATACCTGCATCTGAAGAGGACTGCAAATATGTTTATTATTTTTCCTCTACAGTTATTACATGCACTGAAGGATCTGCCTGCTATAGAGTTTAACAGTATTCAGCTAGTAGTATATTCCGAAAGCTTTAAATGGAAGTCAGCAAAAACTTGTCCTCAATTGAGGGCAAGTTTCCATCAGTATAACTCACTAAGTATTTATAATCAAAGAAAGGTATTAAGTAGCCATGTCTGAATACAGTATAAGATGAATGTTCATCACATCAAGCTAAACCAGTATTTTATTTCTTTTTAGTTTTAGATAGTGTGGAGAGGGAGTGTGGAGAGGGATTAGAACCCCTGATAGGTATTTGTTACTGTCTCCAGCAGCGAGATCCACCCTCTCTATGTGTCCTGGTTACCACTGTCCCAAAGAATGAAATTGAGAGAAAATCCAAAATTGAGCTGTCATCATTTGAACAATGAATAAAAGGGAAATCCTACATTGGGGAAATTTGTTCTGGTGACATCTGCCTGAGACAGGATTTACCCTTGCTTCAGAGAGTTTTCCTCTCACTTCCTGTTGTGCCTACAGGACAGGAAATGAACAGAAATCTTTCCAAAGATTAAAACCAGACAATGGATTTAACCTTCCCATAACCTATGCAAAACTAAAGCAAACATTTATAGCTTTAGATATATTTTAAATAGCGTATCCATCATTTTGAAAATGTAGACCGTCTTTTCTTTCGACAAACTGCAAAAGTAACACAGTGTTACAATGCTGTAAATAACGTGTTATAATATATGAATTATTGCCAAGTCACAACAACTGGAAAATTAAGCACTAGAAAAACTGGAACGTTCAAAGGGTGATAGTCATCAATAAAATCACCCGGTACGTTTACCTATGGGACATTATTAAAAACGGCTGCCTGAACCCATGCGGGAAGCATGGACAGAGCTCAGTAAATCTTATTTTTGCACACATGACATTGTGCACTAAAAAAAAAGGCAAAATTTGGCAAAAATGTACCTCTTTTACTTTTTCTTCACCATCACCAAATGGATTCATGCTTTCACTGAGAAATCACAGCAGTGCAATCAACCTTTAAGGGCCCATGCACACCGGATCCGTTGTGTTGCGATCCGTTTCATCTAAGGAAAGGGCACAGAAAAATTTTGGGGTATGAATGGGGCTAGTTCACACAGCTCCATTCCATTATGTTGTAAAACTTTTTCAGTGCAAAATAATGCAACAGATGCGGTGTGAACTAGCCCTATCCACTTTTCGGTGCCCTTCCGTTAGTATGCGTTGAAAAACAGATCACAACACAACGGATGGGAAGGAAATCCGAAGGTACAATTGCAAGTCAACAGACCCTCCTCTGACTTGTGATTTCCTTCTGATTTTGGTGTGAATGAACCCCATGTCAGACTGGATCCTGTGTGGCAGTTCATAATTCAGACATTCTGATAAATAAAATTGATTGTGGCTCCATGTATTAAAACTTTTTTTTAAAAAACAGCAACCAATCACATTCCAAGATTTGTTGCAGGTAGCAGTAGCAACGTTTCCATTGCTTCCGTTTTTATAAATGGGTCACAATGGCGCTGATTTATAAAAAGCTAAAAAAGGTCAAATTGTAGTGTTGCCAGTGGCAACCCTTCAGAGCCCATGTTTTTTGTTCTATAATAACTTACAATATGCTAGGCCAACACATTATTGGTTGCTATCGACAACAGCACCACTTATGGTTTCCTTCATTTTCATCAGTCCCAATCCTTTTGAGCAAACAACCCAATGGATCAGACAAAAGACATCAGTTTGCTGCCACTGTTATCAATGTAATTACAAGCCAGGAAACAAGCTTTGAACCAACAGGATTTTAGGAAATCAATCAAGAATTTCCTAAAACATAAACGATTCAAAAGGGAATAGAACATTCTTATTCTGCTTTCCAGATGTAATTACAGATATTTTCAGTCACTTCAAAAACGACATGTCACGTTCACGTTTGATAGTATCTCAAATTTTGCTTTCTGACAACTATGCAATTCGGATATCCACTATTTTGTTGAAAGTGGAATTCAGTAAGGGCTAGTTCACACCAAGCGCGGAGCAGGTGCAGAGCAGAGCAGGTGCAGACCGGATCAAAACTGCGTCCAATGTATTCCTATGGTATTTTTAGCTCCAGTTCACATCGCAGCATGCCGATCCAGAGCAGGTTAAAAAAATGCAGCAGGCCCTATTTTACCAGCTCTGGATCTGCAAACGCATAAAAACCGCATGCAAATGCCTGGAACGCACTGAAAGCCCATGTTAAACTAAAAAAAAAAGTTTTTTTTTAAGCCAAAAACGCATCTAAAAGACATATGCAGAAACCTGACCGGATCTGCTCTGCATTTTGTGTGGACAAGGCCTTAATGTTACTTCAGTCTGTGTTTTGTTTACAGAGTGGCTCTTTAAGGCTGTTTAAATAATCTGTCACACATGGTGAACCTCTATGTTAAACAATCAGTGGCTCTGTTGCCTTGAACTATGCACAGTAGTAAATACACATTGTGATGTAACGTACTGGCTTATTCATTTACCAAAATGCAACCAAAATAAGGTTTGCAAGCCTCTTAATTCTGTACTGTCACAGTTACATTCAATATTATGCAAAATGTTTATATGTCAAAGGGCTTTGTGATAATGTTGACAAAAACAAGTACTAACACTCTTTTCCAGAAAGAAATATTGTGATGACAAAGTATTACCACAGCACACCCCATGCATTTTCTAGCTAAGGCATCAGCAGTAGAATCACCCAGGTGAAGCGTTCACTTAGCCCTGGTCACATCTATGCAATCTGGTGCAATTCTGCGACACATGTCCCCGCATCATATGGGATTGCATGTGACACTGCTGTGCTGACATGCAACACACCTATATGTGGCATTTGCGTTGCACCACAAAAAAAGTGTTATGCACTTCTTTGGTGCAATTTAGATGCAGTAGGCAGCCCATTCAAATGAACTGGCTGCCTACTGCAACACACAGTAATGTGCGTAAGCCCTCATTCACACAACTAACAGCAGGACCGTACAGATCCGTGCTGCGTGCACGGCCGTATCGGGCCGCTCCCGGGAAGGACAGGTGCTGCGTGTGATTGCACGCAGCAGCCTGTTCTTCTCTATGGGAGTATGCTGTACGCTCACCCAAACTGCACGTCCGTGCGGGTGTCCGTACTCGTACGCAGCACGGATGGATCGTTTCTGCGTCCGAGAACGTACACCCGCACCAACGTGCAGTTCCGGAGAGCGTAGGACGGCGTACTCCGAAAGAGAAGAACAGGCTGCCTGCCTGCAATCACACGGAGCACCTGTCCTCCCCTGAGGCGGCCCGGGAC